AGCTCGGGTTTTAGGGAGCTCGGACCTTTAACAGGGAGTTCGCTTTTAACAAGGAGCTCGGACTAAACACAGCGATCTGGAGTTGGGGTTTGGTAGTGAGTTTTGACTTGCTTCCGATGTTCGCTTTGGGTGCTCTACTGTCCCGAGCTGCTTGCCTTTGCCACGCGTCGGGCGAGCGCGAGGTCGGGCCAAATTTCCCTTCATCACTTACTGTCTTTATAATGGTTTATTTTTAGTTGGGTGATTGTAATTGCTTTATAGTACATAAAAGATGTAACCTCAAATTTTTCTATTTAATCACTTGCATTATGCATTTTATTTTTTCCTTTTCCTGTCAGCATTATGGAAAACAGAAGAATTTATTATTTTGCAGGAGTTGCGGATGTACAATCCTGAGTACCTTGAACGACCGTATGTTGTAGTGTTAAATAAGATTGACCTTCCACAGGTATGTCAATGTAGACTTGCTTCCTTAGACCCTAAACTTTTCCAAAGAAATATTCCTTTGTTATTGGCCAGTGAAGGATGACTATATATTTAGTTTTAGATGCATTTTTCCCTAAAATCTGTGCTATTTTTTAGGTTTAAAACAGTTATGCTCAGTTCTGTTTTTCAGGCAATGGATAGGCTGTCATCTTTGATTCAAGAAATATCAAAGATTGGATGTGATGAGGCACCTTCTGAGCCAGAAAAAAATTCTGAGGAAGTGGTCCAGGCACTGTCATTTAAGAGTGAACAAGCAAACAAACATTCTTTTGGGTCACTCAATGGAAACAGAAAGGAAAAAGAAGTCGATGAATATCCACGTCCTCTTGCTGTTGTGGGTGTTAGCGTTTTGTAAGTGCATTTTTCTCTTTTCATCCGTCTGCTCTTTTATTTTCGTGCATGTTTTTTGTTTCCTCTTGATTTTAATGGGTGCATTTGGCTTTATTGACATTGAATATCTATAATATAATGTTTTAAAATGTGGAGTTGTGACATGAAGTGCCCTACCATCCTAAGGTATGAGGCATAAACAAGAATGCAGGATAAGCATCCTGAGCATGGACTTTAATAAATAAATAAAATATGATGAAATAAATAAAAATAAAGTAGGCATCTCATAAGAATAGAAAACTTCATGAGAAATTAGAAAAAAATTCTATTTGCAATTTCCAATAATAAAACCACAATTTTTTAATGAATACTTCAATTCTATATTTGAATGTGATAGTTTTATTTTATTTTTTTAAATAATAAAACCATCACATTCAAATATAGAATTGAAGTATATTTGCATCAAGTATCACCATCCATAATTATACAAGTATCATCAGCGATCAATTTACTTACAAAGTTTAGAGAGTTAAAATTTCAGAATTAACAATTTACATAATTGCACAACAGCACGACATTAACATAAACAAGTGTGTCATCTCATGTTCAAATGAAATGAAATTAAAACTATGGTTCCCCTACTTCTATTTATAGCATTTTATTATAATATTACAATAAACAAATTTAAGGGCGTTTTCATTCTGTATTATGTTAATAAATATATAATAGGGAACATGATAAAATGGTTTCTCACGAGGTGTACATACAACTGAAGTGTATGCCTCATATGCTGTTTTTTCCCTTCTTTTTAAGCTTCAAATAATTGGCTCTCCTTTTAGTCCCTTTTCTTTTGTGGGGTGGGGTGGGGACATAACCAGTGCAGAACTGTGGGTCGACCCTGATTTGATATTCAATTCTCCTAGAGGCTTTACATACGTTGCTGTTGACAGGATATGTATATGTATTACATGTGAGGATTTATTGGGTGCTCCTTGTGGCTTGTTACCTGATTTGTAGTTGCCTTTGTTCCCGACCTTGTTGCATTTTACCTCCACCAGCACATATAGCGCAAAGTACCCTAGTGAGATATCCTTCAAGACATGTTAATTTCATCAGTTTGAGGATTGGTTGCTTTTTTGTGCAAGTGTGAATGCATTTGTGTGTTTTTTGTGGGCTAATGATATGAAAGTAGAGATTACTTTCTTCGGTTTCACAAGTGCTTTTTATGGATTACCTTTATTTAACTACATAAATGCCTTGCAAAAAAGGTGACTCTTATGTGGTTGCCTCATTGTATTATTAGTGACATGGTCTCGGACTCGGTATCATTACTGGGTGTCAAACAGAGAAATTTTGAATTGAAAATAGAATCTCCATTGTGAAAAGTAATGCTAGGGCAGATAGGGAGATTTTGAATTGAAAATAGAACCCTCGGTAGTGAAAAAACCAAAATAGTTTTTTTTTTTATTAAATAAAACCAAAATAGTTTTCTCTCATAAGCACTTTGTAAACATATTCTACTTTATTGTTGCAGGAAAGGCATGAGAATCGATGAGATGTTGAGGGAGGTACGAGCAGCCCTAAGAAAGTGCCAACCTTCTGATAATGCTTTGGAATTGAGCAGTGTATGAGACCGTTGTTGCTCAGGTTGTAAACTAAGTTCCATTGTTGTCTGATGCCAGATCAAGCGATTTTTTTGGTGCGTAGATTGAGTACATTCGGATTCGGTTCGGCCAAGTCACAGCAATGCTTGCATGAAACAAGCTCACTAACAGTCTAATACGAGATCACAATATACGCGTCTGAAGCTAATTTGGCTCTCCAGCCTCCCGCAAACTAGCAAGACTGTTAGAACTTAAGATGCATCTGATCAACCAAAGTTAAACCATGTCTTTTGACGTTTGTATCACTAATTAGCTGCTTACGGCTTCCCCCAGTTGGTTCCTTGCAAGTATAGCATTCGTAGCCTGTAACATAGTGTTATTTACATGCATGAGCAAGAGCACAACATGAAGGAGATTTACTGTGACATACTAATAAAGACCGTTCTGATTTCTGATAATATTATCATTTTACCATACGTTCTGCAATGAGCACAACCATTTAAATTGAGGTGAAAAAAATGAGGATTAGAAAAAACTGTGGACCATTTAGATACAGCGTACAAGGAATTTCAATTCAATGGCCTGTTCTTTTACAGTTCGTTGCCACCGTGTCGCTATCTCCTTCAGCTAAGCGATACCAATGGAATAAGCCTAGTTTGTTCAACAGTAGTTTCTCCAATTTGCACGGTGCATCAATGACTACCCACATACGTATGTCTCTCCATTGCTGGGAACTAGACTAAATCACTAAACCACTCAACATAAACTACATCAGTAGTACTAAACCACTTGACATGAACTACAAAAGTAATGCCTGTAAACATTTGATCGTCGTGTACTTTGAGTAAGGTCAAACTATTAAGACCTCCTGTGCCGCAAAACACCTTGCTATAACCTATAACCTACAAGCGGAGAAGCAACATAAATTCCAATGAAATTACGGACATGCCTGCGTCTTTGCTCAGAAACTCAAGGATATGAAATCCATCAATGCAAGTCAGGAAGAGCCAATGAAAGATAAAGATTACACAGAACTAATTTCCAGCATGGATTTCTATCCTCATCTCGCATCTTTCTTTTCTGTTTTTAATTTCTTGGACATAGGTCTCGTATATCTCAAGTCTCAACAATGTTTGAAACGACCAATTTGAAACTGTTGCATGTGATCTGGGCTGCTGACAAAAGTATGTAATGGGGCAAAAAGTACTGACATTTTTCTGTACTCGGTATATGTGTATCGGACACCTGCATTACTGTATACGGTTGTTTCAACTTGACTTCGCTCTCTTCCATACAATAACAGTTCCATCAGAATCTGATGAAGCCAATAAGTTCTCACCATGGTTCCAAGCGATCCCTATAACTGGAGAACCATGACCCTGCAATCACACGGGTTTAGTTATGTTGAGAGACATTTATAGACATTGACGAATGATAAAACCGAGGACACAAGTGTAAGGCGGACCTGTAGCTTGTTTACACAAGTGTGCCTTGGCCGAGTCAAGTCATAGAAATAGACATTTGAGTCCTCGCTTCCAGCAACTTGTATAAAATAACAAATTTTAATGTCAGTAGGCCAGAGCATATCATCAAACAAATCCCTAAGATTTAGCAATGAAAACTAAAACAAATACTTTGCACAGTCAAGATAAATAGTTGGTCCCTTGTAGTTTGCTGTCTTTGCACTCCCTTTCTCTGGTATATTCCCTAATATGGCAGTGGGTTGCTCCTTGTTTTAGGTCATCTTTGGTGTATTTCTGTTCTTTTGTTAATAAGTTCATTATCAATTAAAAAGGAAAATATTAACTGTATCACTGATGTGGCACAGGTAGAAGACACCATCCAGTTTACCAGCCAAAACACCTGTTACGTTACAAATCAACCAATTAATGAATCTATTTACCCTGTCCAATTTTATCCAGATTGTTGGGCTTTTCTTAAACAGAAAATGATGGTTTGAATGGTTAGGATGATCTAATCATCCCACCATTTTTACCATGTAGGTCTGACAAATGGGGCTGCTAGATGGCATCCACGTTCAAGGGGCAAATTGCAAGCAAATGACAATCTTATTAATTATATTTTCTGCAAATTTATGCATATAAGAGGATATGGATGTGGGCAGTAGAATGGTGGGTTGTCATTTTGTAGCCAACCCCAAATAGCCAGCATTAATACCTAAAAAAAGCTGGCATAAAGTCAAATTTAGAAATTTGTCTATTGACACATCCTTCTGAATACAGAGAACAAAATTCAGATTTTGACTTGATAACAATTGCAAGCAACATGTTGGGTATCAGATGACACAAAATTTTCAAGCATGTCCACTATAAATGGTTAAGCTTGTCCTAGAAATCAAATGAAACTGCTCAAGAATGAGAGTTGAGAAGATTCTTTTCTTTTGTTGATTTGGCATGATTTTGAGTGTAGAATGAAATTAGTCTAACTTGGAATAGGATTTGAAATCAAAACGAACTTTGATTCACTATTAAGGGATTCACTGACACATGAAAATCCATATTAACATTTAAATCATGGTAAACAGACCTATGAATTCTCCTTTTTCAAGAGAGAGCAAAGGGCAGAAGGAAGCGCGTATACGGTGGACTCGAGGAGCCAATTTGAGAGAGCATCGGAGAGTCAAATAGCCCTGTATTTCCAAAGCAACACTGTAGGAAAGAATCTTTCAGTTTCCAGATGAATAATATCAATTGAAAAGCAAGAATTATACAGGAATATTAGATTTGTAAAGGAAAACATAGCAATCAGACCTGAAAAAAGACAAGCTTCCATCTTGTGCACATGCTAGCAACACAGGCCCCCTTGCCAACAGAGAAAAGGTTCGATACTGGATAGTTGTGATTGGTGATTTACTGTTATTGCTGCTTCGATTGCGATGAGTTCGGGATAATGCTCCTGTGTGGGAAGTCATACTTACAGTGTATATGCATCCCTGCACATCAACCAGATTGGAACCATATTTAGACAGCACATCTTCACCAAAAAATTAATGCCGTAATGAATTAAACACACCTGAGCATCCCCACAAAATATTAGTTGACCAGTATGATCGTGATCCATAGCTGTAACCTCGCTCTCAAATCCTGCTTTATTTATGATCCTCCCAGTGCTGAAATTAATTACCTGGAATCAAGTAGATTAAGCTGTCATGGATAAGATGAGATAAACAGAAATTGATAACTGTGAAACACCATAGAGATAGTGAAGTTGAAAGGACTGAATCAGATATGTTCTGTTAAGTTGGTGCCAAGAAAAAATGTTGCATTTTCAAAGCGACAGGATGGGTTATAAATGTATTCAGTAAGCGTCCAAAAAATCCTCTAGTACCTGTAGCCAACTTGTATTGGGTCTAGTTTGTTGTGGTGAATTGTACTACAAAACTGTCAATTCTTTTTTTGTTTCTTTCTCCATTAATGGCAGATTTAGAGTTCATAAAAAAGATGAGAAAGAGATATATTTTGATGGTACTTGATCAGAAACTCAAACCCTTTAGTTTCTGAGTTGCCAGGACAAAAGTAAAGAAAAAGGGCGAATAAGAAAATGAGACAAACCACAAAAGGATGGACATGCAGTACAATACCACTTCCAGCAAAGATTGCCAGAAAGGACTAATAGAATGGATACTTTAAGCTTTTAAATAGAGGAAAGATAAATTGCTTCACACAATTTGTCTGTAAGAGAACTAATTCCTACAAGTATTTGATGATACCCCAGAACGTTCTTACAAAAGGAGAAAGAGCAAGCCAGTAATTATTATTCAACTTTGGGAAATTGGATTTACTATAAGATGGCGGAAAACAAAAGGTAAGATATACATACAGTGATTTCTCTGTTTGCATTGCCAACTGAAAGGAAGTTATTATTTACCTGCATGCAAGAAAAAGAAAGAATAAACATCACTTAGTCTCACTAGTAGTAGTTATATTGGAAGAAGGCATATCTAAAACCGATAATGTTTCTGTATGCCAAATAAAAGGAAAAGAAGTGTATACAACAAGAATATAGTGAGAGGATCAAAGGTTTTGGGGAAAAATGGAAAAGTGAATGAATATAAGACACATAAATACCCATTACCAAATAGAAAAGAAAAACAGATTAGAAAACCATTACTCAATGTTGGTCCCAGCTCTCTGGAGCCTTGGGAGGGATGGGATGGATACAGACCTAACTTTTGACTTATTATTTTTTTTTTTACAGCAAATACCACAAAAAACCTGCAGCTGAGAGGCAACCAATAGGACCAAACAACAATGGAAGATAGAGTTAAGAAATGTAACACCAATCACCAAGGGAAAACCAAACACATTGACAACATAATTTGAGTCGACCATCAAAGAATCCAAAAAAAATCCTACACTTCCTGCCCCTCCCCCACCAAAATATATTCAATTTGACATAAAAAGACCTTTGACTGACATCTTGTATTTTTCTTCTTGTTAGGACTCCGAAATGGGAAAGGCATTTCATAGGGAATTTTTGGAATTTTTGTTAATCTATTAGTTCCATTAAAGATACACAATAACCATCTTACTCTCAATATAGAAGTATCTAATCAGTCAAGGTTTTGAAATTTATGCTCCAGGACCAATTTCCTATTCTGTAAACTATTCTACAAAACCCATGCACCAATCCAATTAATTTGTGGTAATAGGGACAGAATTAAAGCACCTTTTAAATTCAAGAATGCTTGGTTTGAAGATGCTGATTTTCTCCCTTTATTAAAATCTGGAAACTGGAAAACAATCTGAACTCAGAAACAGAAAAAAGAGCTTGCCTTAGCCTAATTGAAGAAATTGGCAGAGCAGAGGAATTGGACCCAGTTTCAGAGGAATTAAGATTGAAGAGACTTCAGGCAAAGTCTGTTTTTGATAAATTGGCAGTCAAGGAGGAATTAACGTGGAGACAGAGAGATAAGACAGTCTGACTTAAAGCAGGGGACAGGAACACTCGTTACTTCCATAAGATGGCAAATGCTAGAATCAGAACTTCTTCAATTAGCAAACTTATTTGGGATGATAAGGTGGGAATCTGCTGCAGAAATCAAAGTAATTGCAACTTCCTTTTATAAAAACCTCTATAAGGAAAGTCGGAAGTGCAGACCTCTCCCTTTAAATCTCCCCTTTAAGAGGCTGACTGAAGATCAAAGAAGCTCCCTTGAAAGACCTTTTACTGAGGAGGAGATTAAGTCAGCAGTTAGCAATTTGGATAATGAGAAATCTCCTGGGCCGGATGGTTTGTCCAACATATTTAATATTTTATGTAAAGAGTTGGGATTTTGTGAAGAAAGACATTCTAAAAGCTGTTCAGGCCTTCGACTCAAGTGCTTCACTGCAAAGAAGCTTGAGCAACACTTTTGTCACTCTTATTCCCAAAGTTGTAGGGGTTGTGCACTTAAAAGGCTTTAGGCCAATAAGTCTTCTGAACAGTTTCTACAAGATTTTGGCTAAAGTTTTAGCTGAAAGGATGAAGGAGGTGTTAAATAGTGTGATCTCAAGCACTCAAAGTGCTTTTGTGCCGGGTAGACAACTCATTGATTCGGTTCTAATTGCAAATGGATTGATTGACTCTAGGAAGAGGGAGGGGATTCCTGGTTTGGTGTGCAAACTGGACATAGAAAAAGTTTACGACCATGTAAATTGGAGATGCTTAAATTGTCTCTTGGAAAAATGAATTTTGGGCAAAAATGGAGGAATTGGATGAAAGTCTGTGTCTTCCCCAAAAGTTTCCATCCTGGTAAATGGACAAACGGTAGGTTTCTTTGAGAGCTCCAGAGGGCTTAGACAAAGAGATCCCCTCTCTCCTCAGCTCTTTACTTGTATTGCTGAAATCCTATCCAAGTTAGATAGATTTCTAGTGACACAAGAGTGGGAGGATCATTGGGGGAATTTGACAGGTAGAATATTACCTAGGCTTACGTCGGATCATTGGCCAATTTATCTTACTCAAGAAGGGAATGGGGGCGGACCAAAGCCTTTTCGGTTTGAAAATATGTGGCTCACAGTCCCGGGCTTTGTGCAAAATGTGAGAAGCTGGTGGGAGGAAGACACCTTAGTGGCTAGATGGGAAGGGATTAGATTCCATAGAAAGCTTAAGAATTTGAAAGGAAAGCTAAAGGAGTGGAATTCCAATCAGTTTGGAAGGATCGAAGAAAGAAAGCTTACCTTGATTAGTCGGATTGAAGAGATTGATAGAAAAGAGGAAGAAGGACAAATGGGCTTGGTAGAGAAGGAGGAGAGGACAAATTTGAAAAAAGAGTTGGAAGTTACACTGCTGAGAGAGGAGATATCATGGAAACAAAAGTCAAGAGAAAGGTGGATAAAGGAAGGTGATGGGAACACTATATACTTTCATGCAATCGCAAATGGTAGGAGAAGGAAAAATTGTATCTCTATGCTGGAATTATCATCACCCAACAGAATGACATTGCAAAGGCTTTTGTGGATCACTTCAAACAAATTTATAGAAGGTCAGTAGAGAATAGATGGATCTTAAAGGGTTTGACATGGCCTACTTTAGATAGCACCTTGAGTAGAGAATTAGAAAGTGGTTTTAAGTTGGAAGAAGTGAAGGCAGCTATTTTCTCTATGGATAGGTCCAAGGCTCTGGGTCCAGATGGATTTACCATGGCTTTTTACCAAGATTGTTGGGAGTGGCTTAAGGAAGATTTAATGAAGGTTTTTGAGGAATTCTATCACAGAGGGATGATAAGTAGAGGGGTTAATGCTACTTTTATTGCGTTGATTCCTAAGACATCAGGAGCATGTCACCCCAAGGACTTTAGACCAATCAGCTTAGTGACAAGTCAATACAAAATCATAGCCAAGGTTCTCTCCAACCGCCTAAAGAAGGTACTTCCATCAATCATATCACGGTATCAAGGAGCTTTTATTGAAGAAAGACAGATTTCAGATCAGCTGCTCATTGCAAATGAGTGTGTAGAGGATTTTAGAAAGAATGGGAGGAAAGGTATTGTGTGCAAGTTGGATCTGGAGAAAGCCTACGATTTTGTGGATTGGGGTCTCTTAATTGAAGCTTTGAGCAATTGTGGTTTTGGTGCAAGATGGTGCAAGTGGATTAGAGGTTGCCTAAAATCTTGTCATTTTTCAGTCTTGGTGAATGGGTCGGTTATAGATTTCTTTGGTGCTATGAGAGGTCTGAGACAGGGGGATCCTCTTTCACCATTTCTATTTACTATTGTTGCAGAGGTGTTCAGCAGATTGATCATAAAAGTAGATGAAATGGGTGTTTTAAGAGGGTGGAGAATGGGGAGAGACAGGGTGATGGTAACCCATCTTCAATTTGCAGACGACATCATTATTTTTTGTGAGGGGGAAGGTGAGGAGGAGGCTAGGAATCTGAGGAGGTTATTGAGCTTGTTTGATATGTTGACAAATCTGAAGGTTAATCTCAATAAAAGTGTAGTAGCTGGGGTAAATATGGGGCAGGAGGAGTTGGAGCTGTGGGCAAGGAACTCAGATGTGTGTCTAGTGATTGGCCTATGAAGTACTTAGGACTCCCTTTAGGTGCAAACCCTAGGTCTTTAACTTCTGGAGCCCGGTAGTGGAGAGATTTGAGAAGTTAGCGGCTTGGAAGAGGAATTATATTTCTTTGGGAGGTAGGATAACCTTAATCAAATCCACCTTAGCTAACATTTCGGTCTATTACCTATCGGTGTTCAATGTACCTCAGGTGATTGTTAAGAAGTTGGAGAAAATTATGCGGGTTTTCTTGTGGGAACCGGGAGAAACAAAGAAGGATCACCTAATCAGATGGGAAATAGTTTGTAGATGGAAGGAGGATGGAGGGCTGGGGTTAGGAAGGCTGAAAGAAAAGAACCAGGCTCTTCTGGGGAAGTGGTTGTGGAGATTTCCGAGAGAATCGGACAGGTTATGACATAAAGTGATCGCTAGTATTCATGGGCTCTCTGTGAACGGGTGGGATGCTGAAACTTCTAGCAGGGCCTCTTGCTTTTCACCCTGGAGAGCAATTCAGAAATGCCTTCCATTCTCAATCACATCAGATTCGATTTTAATTCAGGTAACAAGATCAAGTTCTAGGAGGATCTTTGGGTGGGTGAAGCCCCTTTAAAGGTTTCTTTCCCTTCTTTGTTCACCCTTTCTGCTCAAGGGTAAGCCAATTTCTGAGTTTCTACTCCCCTCTTCCTCGGCTAACGGGCTTGGGTGGAATCTAGGTTTTCGTAGAAATGTGAGGGACACTGAGTTAGGCCTTGTTTCAAACCTTCTACACATTCTTGAAGGGGTTTTCCCAGACCTAAGTAAACAAGATGATAGAATTTGGACTCTACATCCTTTTGGGGTTTTCAGTTGTGCTTCTTTTTTCAAGTCGTTGTCTGTGCCTTCTCAACCAATTACTCCCTTTCTAGTCAAAGAGATCCGATTCCCCCCAAAGTGAGTGCTTTTTGTTGGGAGATCTTCCATGGTGCAATCAACACTCCTGATATTTTACAGAGGAAGAGACCTGGATGGTGCCTCTCCCTAAATTGGTGCTGCTTGTGTGAATCCAATGGTGAATCTGTTCTTCACTTGTTCATTTCCTGTCCATTTGCTTGTGGTATTTGGGATCGGTTCTTTTCTCTTTTTGGGTGCAGGTGGAATACTCTGGACAGATTGGACAGGTTGTTTGATAGATCCACTTTCAATTGGCCAAAAAGGAGGGGAAGACTGATGTGGAGGTGCACAAGAGCAGCAATAATATGGATCCTATGGGAGGAAAGAAATAAGCGTATATTTGAGGAAAAGAAAAGAAGCAAGGAAGCTTCAATTGAAGGGATCATGGCAAAAAGTGGTCTTCTGGATAAAGACTTTGGAGTTGTTCTCAGATTTCTCTATGTATGATATATTAAGGAACTGGAGAACAATTGCAACCTCAACTTCAGCTAAGTGGAAGACACTAAAGGACTGGGAACCCCCAGAGGTAGATTTCCTGAAATTAAATTTCGATGGAAGTAGTTTTGGGAACCCAGGGCCCTCTGGAATTGGAGGGTTCTAAGGAATGAAAGCGGAGTGATTTTGGGAATGTACTTAGGTCCCATTGGAGTGTGTGACTCTGTAACAGCAGAATTGAAGGCAGTACTTTATGGGATGCAGAAATCTTTGGAAATGGGGTTTCGGAAGCTAATAGTTGAAGGCAACTCCAAAATAGTAATAAGTTGGTTAAAGCAGAACAAGAAGAATCCTTGGTTTTTCAGAAACAAATTCAAACATTTCAAGAGGTTCTCAAGGGATATGCAGCTGATATTTCAATGGGCTCCTAGGTTGGCAAATGGCTTAGCTGACCATCTAGCAAAGCAAGGGGTAAATAGAGCAGAGTGCTTCTGGGCTCAATTGTGAGACTGATCATCAATTTGTCTATGTATTCTATTGTTGGTAGCCGAGGCTGCCCATGTTTCTGTATTATCTTTTTTCTCTAAGTAATGAAATCTACTTTGACTAGTGATAAAAAAAAAATCTCTCTCGTCGGAAGGCAACCGAATTTGGTTTGTGGGAAGGGTTTGTAATTGCCCCAAGGGAGGAAAAAGTCAACATCCTCCAATTTGCTGATGACACCTTATGTTTCATAGATGCACCTCAGGAGCATTCGGAAAACTTATTAGGGATTCTCAGCTGGTTTGAAGTAGTAATAGGTCTGGAAGTCAACCTTAATAGAATCCAAATTATCCCAGTGGGTCAGGTTCCCAATTTGGAGGAATGCACCAAAGTAATGGCTTGTCGAGTGGAACAGCTTCCTGTAAAATATTTGGGACTGCCCTTGGGAGCTAAATGTTCTTGTTCAGCCATTTGGAACCCGGTGATTGAAAGATTGGAAAAAAAATCTCTCCTCTTGGAAGGCAAAATATCTGTCTTTTGGAGGAAGAGTAACCCTTTTAAAAAGTACCTTTTCAAATTTTCCTACTTATTTTCTTTCCCTTTTCCCTGTCCCAGCAAAAGTGGCAAAGAGACCGGAGACTCTCCAAAGGAATTTCTTGTGGAGGGGTTGGGAGGAGGAAAAGAAGATTCATCTTGTCAACTGGGATCAAATATGTCTTCCTATGGAAGAAGGGACACTGGGTTTAAGGAAAATCAAGGTAACTAATTTGGTTCTTCTTAGTAAATGGCTCTGGATTTGCAACAGAAAGGGGAGCTTGGTGGAGAAGCCTGATAGCCGCCAAGTTTGGGGTAGAGTGGGGAAATTGGAGATCGAGAGACCCACTTCCCAATTGGGGCTGCTCTTTATGGAAAGGAATGATGAGATATTTTCCCTTGTTTAGAGAGGGTTTAAGCTTCAAAGTAGGCAGAGGAGACAAAATCAGATTCTGGAAGGATCCTTGGTGCTTGGACCATCCTTTGGCTGAAGATTTCCCTCTTCTTTATCAGTGTGCCACCAATCAGAATGCTTCGATTGCTGACTCTTACACATTCTCAGGTAATGAGGTGACCTAGGTACCACAATTCAGAAGAAGCCTTTTTGATTGGGAAGTGGAAGAAGTTATGAGATTGTTGGAAATTTTACAAGCTCAGAGGATTGACTGTAATCAGGATGACCAGGGGACTTGGAATTGGTCTAAAGAGGGTAGCTTCTCAGTTAAATCAATGGCCAGTAGATTAAGTGGTAGAGCTGCAGTGGTGGATTTTCCATCAAAGAAGATTTGGAATTCTATTAGTCCCTCAAAATTGAAGTTACTTCTCTGGACTATGGATTTAAATAAATGCCTGTCTAGAACCAACCTAGAAAGAAGAGGCTTGTAGATCCCTGATGACTCTTGTGCTCTTTGTGAATCATACCCAGAAACTACTGATCATCTTTGTATTCACTGCCCGATTGCCGCCCAGGTGTGGGACCATTTCTTACAGGCTGTGGGGATTTGTTGGGTCATGCCAAAATCTGTAAAGGATGTGCTCTGCAGTTGGAAGATCAGCAATTTGAAGAAAAAAGGGAAGCTAATCTGGCGTACTATCCCGACAGCAGTGCTTTGGGCCATTTGATTTGAGAGAAACAGCAGAATATTTAACCAAAAAGTGAAAAGTCCAGAGGAGGTAGGGCAGGCGGCAGTCAGAAAATTGATGTCCTGGATATCTGTCACTCCAGAATTCAAACATTTAAACGTACTCCAGTTGTTGAGATCTCAGTCGATTTGGTGTTTGTAATGGGGGGTGTCCCCATTCCTGGCTTGTCTTTGGCAGGTTACTGTTTGTATCTCTAAGTTTTTCTAATAAATTTACCTTACCTTTTCCAAAAAAAAAAAAAAAAGCTTCACCTAAGCATCCAAAGAACACAAGGTTAAATGCCCATTCAAGTTCAACATAGTTTGTCAATAAACTGGGGGTCATCATCTTGAACAAACATTTTTTTTGAACCAGTATAAATAAACTGGCATATCTTTTGTCTGAATGATTTTTACAAGAAAAATGTCTTTTAATTGCTCCACCCTCATAGGAGATCTTTGACTAAAGACCTTTTTGATTGGTATCTTCGATTAAAGACTTCCTTTTTCATAGTTCTTATAATTGATTGGCTAATACTAACCATTCCCATAAGCATGAATACTATGACTAGCATTTCAAACAGAAAACAGGAAATAATTTATCAAAAAATTTTCAAACAGGAAATAATAAATCATCTTTAGAATAATTCCCTTTATGAGAATTATTTGGTGTTTTCATATGATATCCAAAAATCCTGTCCAAAACACTTATGTATGGTTCTGTCATCATGTGAAGTTGAAACAAGGGCCACATTTTAATTGTGGGTAAAATTTTGTCTGGGTTTATTTATATATAGATATAAACAGACATGAACATTTTGTTTTTTGAGCATTCAATTAAAGAGTATTGATGCTGGTGTCTCACTGGGTGAAAACGAATGCACAATTGTGAAGAGACTCCATATATAACTCGAATGCAATGGCCTTCTGATATTGCCCAGACTCTCACAGTTTTATCCATTGATGATGAAGCAATATATTGATTGTTGGATGAGAAGTCAAAATCTGTAACAAACAACCATTTTAGAAACAAGGCCTTCAAGTCTGACACAGATAACAAAAGCGTAAGACTGCTTGAAAATGAGTAATTCACAATTTCACATTAACTACTTGAAAATGAGAAATTCACAATTTCACATACAACCATATAACACCGTCATCATCTAAGTCTTGACCCAACCATTATGGGTTTGGCTACATGAATCCTGTTTCACATTCACCATTCTGTTCTGTTCAGTATAACTATATAACATATCCAAAAAACAAGATAAGAAAACGAGCAGGTTATAACTCATAGCCAGTCCTGCTTGTTTGGGTGTTAGTGCAGGCATAAATTTTTCATCATGTATGGTTGTTAGTGCACTTTAGGATTTCAAGTATCTTCTTGCAACAGTTTTGCTTGGTTGGCATGCAAGCATGCGAGCATTTTGAATCATGGTGAACATGCTTAGATCGGTCTGGTGGCAAAACAATAATGGCCAGGAAGGTCCTGTTTCAAGCTTGCTGAATTCATCTAGACATGATAAACCAAATAATACTGTGATATTGTCCCTCTTCCACAAATGATCAACAAAATCATAATACTGCTTACAAATCCTAGTCCATGACTAAATCAAAATGGCAGCACATTTCTTCTACTTATCTTCTGGAATTTATTTTATGTTATGTGATTTATAGTGTAGTAGTATACCTCTTAGAACAGTATTACATTTACCAAATACACGAAAATGTAATAGCCATCTGATCAACAACTCCAACATGATAGTTTAATAAGACTTCTGGCATATACTGTTCAGACATAAAAATAAGCACTTATACCACTAAGATCTAATTAAATTTCAAGGGTATCAGATTTTAGACTTCCAAATGCTACAAAAAATATAATGCAGAATTCCCAGTCAATATGAAATAAATCATGGAGGACAGGATACAAATAAAGACCATGGAACTAGTACCACTTAATCCAACCTGTGACATCCTTTGAGTGCCCTTTCAACTGTTTGATAACTGAAGGTGGCTCAGAGACAGTACAAACTGTCAAGGTTCCATCAGAGGCTCCATAAGCGAGTAGATCTGAACTCATGTGTCCAAACTTCAAGACTGTAACTGGAGATTAGAAAAAAAAAGAAATTAATCTGCCTCCCATAAATGAGAAATCCCAGTGTAGAGTATCCAGGAAAAAGGCAGAGAAAACTAAAACCTTTCTAGCATGGACACACATAAACAATGAGGGAGTGAGTACCTGAGAATTTGCAGTTGTCAAAGATGCAATGCATTCCTACAAAAGAATATGCAGGTTCCACCCTGTTACTCGGATGATCAGAATCACTTGCATTAGAGCTGAAACTCACACGATGGCTTGGAGCATGATTTCGTAGGTCCTGTAAAGAAAAAAAGATATCCCATGAACTCTGTAATCCATTGCAGGTTCCAAGAAAGAAGGAATTAAAAAACAGTTCTGTTCAGAGGAGAATTCAACTGGATATCTCTACCCCCAAAAAAGAATGAAAAATAAAAAATGATCTGTGTAGAGTTTAAATTAATATGATTCATTAAAATGGATATGCAAGTCTTCCTAATTTGGAAGTGCCAATGCATAGCATTGAGAACCCAGAGGAGTAATGGTTCATTTCATGAATTTGCACAGACTTTACCCTTAGGTAATCAGGCAAAATACATTATCAATACATGCCTACGAGAGTTACACCATGCTTCCTAGTGTCCTCAAGTAGTGGTATGACATGACAGGTGGTTATGGGATTTATGAAGCATGGCATTCAGTCTTCAAAAATCATGAAATCATTTAGATCAAGGAACTATGGATCATATTACAACAAATGATTCCTGCAGATTCCACTTTTTATTAACCAGAATCCCCACCCCAAATATAACTGCTAATTCCTAACCATATTAGGTAAATTAGTTCTGAAGTAGATGCAAGATTCTTTGAAGAATAATGAAAAGAATTTTGTAAATTAGTCGAACATACCCTGCTCGAGCTCCAGCTGTCCACCTCAAACGTAACAGAGGGTGGACCTGGAGATGGAACCCATCGCCCACTGATGCATCAACCAGTAAATTACCCTGATGTCAGAATCGTATGCAAACATAAATTTACAGATGAATGAGAAAAGTTAAATGCATCATTAATTCTTTTCCAGCATAGGATATGAAGCACAAAACCAACAAAATATATTAGATAAGAGATAAGAGTGACAGGGGTGCAATTTGGGTGGGCTCAGGTTGGGCTTTTGTCAAAATTTGAATGGGCCAGGCCCACAGCAGTGTAAAATGCCAACTTGGGCCAACCCGAGTTGGCACCCCTAAACAGTGATGATTGAACAATGTTCAAAAAATGGCAGATAAAATGGTAAACAGTGTTTAAAATAACTTTAAGATTCAACAACAGTATAATGGGTTCTCTGTTCTCTATCACTCATCCAAATGATGACACAATTTGATTGATTGCAGAAACCATTTTCAGACAGTACCAAAAAAAGCTTGAGCCTTTTTATGTTCATAAAAAAAAAACAAAAATCTGAGCCTCTGAGTGACTTGATCAAAGATTTTCAATTGATTCTGATTCATAGGCCCCATTTTCAGAAATAGTACCATTTGAGATTGAGATCTGACCAGGTTGAAAGCATTCTCTTAATCTGTTGTCACAATATAGTCCATGAAAGTCAGACTTCACAGAGTTATAATCCATTCTGCGAAACACAAAATTTTAGGTTTTTGAAATTCAAATCTGACATTTGGACCATTGGATGACTAGCACGTGATGCATAATAATTAATAAGCAGAGAACCTGAGTCTTCCACATTAATAAGCCAAATATCATTATTGTGTGGTGAGACAATCTTGAAGCTTTGGAATAATCTGGACAGTCTTGATATTCCTGATAAGTATTTTTCCCACATATCCCAAATAAACAGAGACATTTGAGGATAAAATTTCCATTTTTGGATGTACTGGAGCTCTAGACCAAGTGGAATTTCCACAAAGCTTAGCAATGTAGTGATTAAGAACTTAAGAAGCAACGGTATAAAGAATTCCTTTTGATGAGCAAAAGCAAAGATTTTATTTATGAGAAGAAAGGAAATATTACTAATTATAGTGGTTTTCAATAGCAATATTGTTACTGCATCTTGTTCAAGGATAAATGCTCATTTAAGTTACTGAATGACAAAGACAAAATTGTGTTCCTTTCTGGTTCTATCCTCCAAAAACATTCCACGAGTGAAGCATTGAAGTTTTGATTGTATGAACAAGTTAAAGACAATGAAATTGCTAGTCATTTTCCATAAAAGTAAAAGCCCAGGTGGTTTTAATTTGATATGGATTACGACAAAAGAAACTGATGCTTGAAGTCCAATCCCGGATGTAATTTTGTAGCCTCATCTTGTGCACCATGTGCACTGCTTTCTAATTTTACGTGAATGAACAAAGAATATCCTTCCATTACAGTGCCTTCCATTTTCTCTACTTTTGGTTCTCCAAACTTCAAGAGATGGATGCTAACATAACAGTTACTCAGTCTCTCTATTACACTTATCTATTGAATTAATGGAATTCATTTTTATTGATGTTTAAAGAAAAAAGCTCTTGCTTACATTTGCGAACTATTAAGGATATTGAAAGAGCTGAGACGCATGGCAATGAAGGATTTATTACCAATATTTCAGTTTGTTTCCTTGTCTCTTTTTTACCTAGGCCCTTGATCAATCCTCTTGCTCATCCATTGTGTGTCTTATTCATTAAGGAATGTATTAGCTTTTACTTCTCTCACTGGGTTTTCATTAATCAGGAAAAGAAGATAAATATGGTGATGATTATCTTGCCATCGTAGTCATGGTCATCAAATACAACTTCACTGACCTGTGTCCGGGTGTGCTTGTATGGCTTGATAAACGAAAACTATCCCAATTCCTTGGCCTGCGAATATAATTACGGTATGCTACGTAACCTCTTCCATTGCATTTCCAGTCCTTCAAAAGGAAATAAGTGTACAAATTAAAAGAGTAACAAAATCATCTTCAGAAGATGAACCAGATTCTCCAAATATGAACAAACGTCCAGAACTATCAAAGCATCGGACATTTGGCAGGATAATACATAAATAAAAGGTTGATCGCTTAGAGCTGTTCAAAAGGAAAATCACTTGCATGGCAGAGGAAAGATCGTCAACCATACTAAGAAATGTGGTGATATAACACCTCAGAAATTTCTTAACAGCAACAAGGAGCTGAAACAAACTGTGGATCTTATAGCCGAACTGTCAAAATCCTCGAATGCAATTGCCAACTTATTGCAGACATGTGTATCTAGCTTTCGCATGCCTCCTAAATATCTCGGGCATAATGCATGTATTATCCAAATTAATGGCATTATGCCAAATTTCATCCTTTAATCAGATCAACATTATAAACCAGACATTGTATTTAGCTTCGGATTCGAACACGTCTAATGAGCACAACAACGACAGTAAAAATAATTCTGCGAGAAACGGTAAATTGGGCAAATAAAGCATACCATTCGCCGATCTACACCAGATTCAGCCTTCCTGTAGAGAAGAAGACGTCGAATTCCAACGTAATCGGGATCGACATCGGCACTCGAAGGCTGAAGCAACCAGGCGAAGAACTCCGGATCTATATTCTTCTTCTCCTTCTCCTTCTCTTCCAAAGAAACTTTCTCTAATGTGTCCTCCGCCATTATCCAACACTTTCAGAATTTCCTTCATATAATAGGTTTAATTGGTTAAATCCCTTCAAATCTCGTCTCCATGTCACCGGATCGAACTACAAAGACTACTCTTTAATGAACAGTTTCCTTTCCCATGAGTTCCAGCAAATCTCCCGTGCGCCTACGGTCTGTCTGGATCTAGCTGTTTCAGCGAAGTTTAGGTCTTCTATTCTTCGACAATTCTGTTGAGATCGGAGCTCGAAACCTGTGAAATTGGGATTGTAATGCTTCGTTCTGCGAATGGAATTGGAGAACTGAGGTGCACACGACAGGGCTGTTTTCGTACTCGATCTCGATGGCGTGTGAGAGGTGTGCGACGTTTTTTTGGTAGGAAATTCGGGTCAGACCAAGTTAGCCCTGAACCCTGGGCTGAAAATCGGACCAAACCGAATCGAGCAATTGGGTTTCCTTCACTACCACAAATAATAATATATATGTTTTTTTACATCTTTATTATTATTATTATTATAAAGATGTAAAAAAACCATATATATAAAGCATCATCAATAAAAAATTTAGGTTTTAATAAATATAACTTAATTATTTTTCTAGGCTAATAGTATTTTAAATAAAAAAACTTATAAATTTTAATGCCTTGGTTCTTCATTAAATTTGAGAGCTCTAAAAGCAAAAAGCAAAAAAAAAAAAATAATGGAAGTATGGTTATATATATATGGTATTGCGAAATACATTACATGAAATTCACTATCAATGGGCGGAGACTGAGTTGGGTGCACATGAGGTGTGTAGTCAACTTTGCCATGGAGAAGGGTTTGATCCCACGTCTCCCAATCAGAGTGACGCCAGTGACCAACTCAGCCACTGAGTCATGGGCTAAAAATATAATTTTTTTATATATCCCAAGAGAAAATTTTATTCATCAACACTTGATATTACATATAGGGATGACAAATACACTATCCGATTGGTATTCACCTCTATGGGGCATTTTTTTTTTTATTTGCTTAAAGGATGAATCTTAGGGTGAAGACAGGTTTTGAGATTCTACAACTCATACGGGTATAGGTCAGGTATGATATTAGACTAAACCTGACCCTCCCTAACTTACATATTGTTAGAAAGCATATGAATTTTATGTATTGAGTGTCGAATTTAATAATATTTTAAATTTTATGTGAAGAATAATTGATAGTTTATATATTTTTTTACATATCTTAATCAAATAAATTGAAATTTTGCTATTTGTTCATATTGTTTTATTTATTTATTATTTATATATAATAATAAATAATAGCAAATTAGAAACAGGATGTAAACCCTACCTATCTACCCTTGAATATGGAGAAGGTAAGGTCAGGGACGGTTTTACATTTTTATATATAAAAAAGATTTGGATTCTCGAAATCTAATCCATTATAAATTTTGGAGGCAAGTACAAGACCACAACTTAGGGGTTTAAGAAAACAGATAGGGCCTAAAATTTACAAAACCTTCTCCAAACCTGCACTACTGTCATCCCTATTTACATCTCTTTGGATACCATCTGTTTAAGAAAATCAGGAGTAGCAGATCCAGTCACAAGAAAATGCATGATACTTGGCAATTCTACGAGCCGTTTCATCCACATTTCCACGCACATAAGATACGGAATGAGATTCTGGGCAAGCCAAAATGTTCCTGTAGTGGCGATGAAACTATTAAAATTTAAGGCACATGGCATTGTAGGAGATTGCTCTGGTTAGCATGTGTCAAGATATATTTTCATGGAAAAATGACAATGAGTGGTGGTGCCACTTCACACATGAGCCATTTGGGTGGTTGGGTTTGGGTTGACTTTCATTCCATTCTTCTAATCCACTAACATGTTAATGACCCATTTAAATAAGATTAATTGGGTTTGTTCCAACCCAAACCCATTTTTATTCACTTATTTTATCTTGTAATAATTTTAGTTTTATGGAGTAAATGGGTTGCCGAAATCCGTAAACCCAACAGGGGGGCAGACCGCCGGACTCTGTCTTGGTACCTTGGACATGTCCAGCGACGTGGTTATTACTTACGACTCTACCGCTCGCAAGTTTTATGGCAAGTTCACCAAACTCAACTTGTCGGAACCATGGACTGAAGCCGAGCTCGAACCTCGAAACATCAGCCAATCAGTCCCAGTCCCTGTTCCTCTTTCCACCATCATCACCCAGCAGATTGAAAGTCTATTGAAAGTTGGGCGGAATCCAAATCTTAATCTATTCCTATTCTTGGTAGAATGACATTTTTTCATTTGAGGGAGTTGTTATTCCTTCTCTTTCCTTTAGGAATGAAATCTCATTCTTGTTGATTCTAATTTTCATTCTCATTTCTGTCTGAATCAAATAGACTATGAGAATAGATCATTCTAATTGTGATTCTAAAAGATTTGAATCAAACAGATCCTTAGAAATGCATTTCCAACTTATAATTGAAATTGTTAATTGTGTTACAAACTGACCAGACGAGAAAATGGCTATACAAGATTACAAGTGTTTATCATTTCCATATGATCGATTAACTCAATGGGTATCCATTACTAATCCGATGCTACCCATTTAAGTTGACCTGACTCAGTGATGTGTGGAAGAAATAAAATGGGAAGTAGAATACAAAAATTACAAAAAAAAAAGGAGATATCTCACACACAACTACCCATGTGTGAGAAAAATAGTAGACTTTTCTAATTAATAAAAATTGTAAACATTAAAGCATAGCGTAGATTAGATACTAAGGTCATGTTTGGGAGTACCTAAAAACAAGTGTTTATTCAACATAAGTGCTTATATGGGCCATTAAGCACTTATCGGTATTTAGGAAATAAGTCCGAAATAAGTGCTTATTTTAAAAGTAAGGAATTTTTTTAAAGCCCAAATTTCCATCTTTTTTAAGTATTTATACAATAAGCATTTATTTAATTGTTTCTTCCAAAACTATCCCTAGTTGGATTTTAAAATACCACTTATAAAACTATCCCTAGTTGAATTTTATAAAAGTACTTTCGTAAAAGTGTTTTATAAAAGTGCTTTCATAACAGTGATTTTATAAAAGTGTTATCGTAAAGGTACTTTTACAAGAGTATTTTTATAAAAGTGCTTTCATAAAAATACTTCAATAAGAGTATATTTTAAAAATTTGAAAGAAAATGAAGGATGAAATAGTCACAAATGCTTATTAGAGAAAAAAGACTACCAAATGCCCAATATGAAATAAGTGCTTATTTTTTAAAATAAGCATTTGAAAAATTTGGGTGTCAAATACAAACAAGTGCTTATTCGAATAAGCACTTATTCAATAAGCATTTATTTTTAACTTAAGCACTCCTAGCCTAGGTTTACACGGGCCCGAGCCGGGGCGGTCCTGATTTTGGGCCAATGTCTTTCATATATAAAACATTACATATCTATAATATTTTATATTAAATGATATAACATGCATATATACTTATGTAATGTAAAATAACATGTATACATATGTATACACTATACACAAAATGTATAAGTTTAAATAAATGTGGGCCGGCCCGGGCTTGAAGTATTAAGGCCAAGTCCGGCCCTAAAATTTGCAGGCCTGAGTTGGGCCTGGGCCCGGGCGGGGTCTGAACACAAAACCCAGGCCCAAGCCCAAAATGATCTCGTGGAATTATTTAAGTTTTTGGTAAATTATTTTAGAATGGAAAAAATATTAGGCCCCGTTTGGTTTGCGGGAATAGGGGTCCATAATCAAAATAAGAATGGGCTATTCTGATTCCAACTGTTTGGTTGGGTGAAATCCGAATGTCATTCCCCCATTTGAGGGAATGGTCATCCTCTCCCCCTTCCCTTGGGAATGAAATCCCATTCCTGTTGATTGTAATTCTCATTTCCATTCCTGAACCAAATATACTATGGGAATAGACCATTCTGATTCTGATTCCCAACAAGGATTTCCATTCCAATTCCAATTGTAAACCAAACGGACCCAAAGCATTATTCACATTTCACAAAAAAAGATATTGTATGGGAATGGGTTTCGGGTCGTTTAGGCAAGATGCCTATACGAGTAAGGATTCTTCCATATGGATACATCTCAAATAAAAATCCCTTAATGCCACTCTTGTAATTAAGGCCTTTCTTCTGGGCAATTTTAAGTTAAATAATTAAATTGGCTAAATATCTTTTTTTTTTTTTTAATAGGACCCTAAAGTCGATTTCACTCAACCAAAACCTGATCAGTTTATAGTTAACTTTGAGGCCTAGTTGGGAGGATTGAAGCTTTAAATTGATCTATTTTTACTGAGTCATTTTGAAGAAGTTAAACAAATTTCACAAGAAAACTAGTCCTTTGACTGAGTGACAGCATTTTGGGGTTCTTTTGATGATTCATCAAACATAATTTATACGGAGAAGTACGGACAGGCTCAATATAGATTTCTGATTTCTATTACAGAACTATAAACATTTAAAAGGTCAAAACCCTCATTCTATACATCAATGCCCGTCCTTGAATTGGCTTCAATTCTAAATTAGCATCCACTCCAACTGTACTTTGAATCTATAAATTCTGATCCTGGGCGGTTCGATCATTCTCCCTAAGTTATAAGCTTTCCATATGGGACACACGTTGCAAAGTCAGAAGCCCTCCCAAACGGGGGCAGTTGATAATGAAATCTACCGGAAGCAATACAAATCGGTACAGCACCAAACCAAGAGAGATTAGAAGAACCTTCTTTATATAATTTGGCAAGAGCATGAGCTATTTGATTGTGAATTGTGATAACTTCAAACCTCTGAAAACGAAGTAGAGAGCGAGAGGAGAAGCCTCCTGCAATAGCCAATAAGCAACACATATATACAAGCTGATGTGCGAGGGTGGAATACAGTTGGTGTCCAACAGGAGTTGGTTAAGTTCTACCTAGAGCATCTCCTTTAAGCTGAAGAGAGCTTAAATTAAGAGCAAACTTGATTCTTTCCAACAAAGTCAAAGCTTTGCTGTCAGTGAATTGGAGGGTGGTAAGCAGAGAGATTTACTAGCCACATGACAACCCTGAATCATGCATGGTATATGAGAGCTCGACAGGATCTCGATCCAACCCAAAAACTCTTCTCACATCCCTAAAGACACTATAGGCATGCATTGGAAATATCTGGCACTGTGTGCGCACCTGTAATGTTCAGTTGGTAGGGATGTGGGAAGAATTTTTGGATAAAAGATTCAGAGTGGGTATATGACACCGATATATAGCCATCACCTGAATCCATGTATTTTTCAACCCCAAAGCCCTATATTATTTCCGTAAACAAAGTTTTTTTTTTTGGACTGGATTTAATAGGCATAATATGGTAAATATGTTTACTAAGCACTTATAAATATTCTGATAACTGTCAAAAATGATTTTTAATGTTTTTCAAGCGTAGGCTTGGGATATATTAAAGAATAGGTGTCAAAAATTTTTCTTAATGCTCATTAAACATGCTTATGACTTTGTGCCTATCTGATCCAAACTGCTTTTTTTAACAACTTAAACTTGAATTAAAGAATTATTAACTAGATGGATTGAGGAAAAGTGATGAACACATTACCAGCTGTTTAGACGGAGACTTTGACCCTCTAACCCAAATCCAGCTTGCCCTGTTGGGTTGAGTTCTAGTTGCAAAGAAAACTCAATTAAATCAGCACACACATTGGCTCAATGTCTTCAAACTTTATTTCCTCAAAATTAGCTTATTTGGTGTTGGGGAAGATGGGGTTACTGTAACTTTGGAGGAGAAGCTTTGAGGCGTGTCTGAAGACACTATCTTTAGAACGTTATTTGCCCCCACTCAGTTTTACTGAGTTTACTGTTGGGTTATAGGCAAATTCGTTCCCAGGATACAACAAAGCCTTTGGGCGAGAATCTGCAACCAGCAAAGTTGAAGAGTCTCCAAAGAAACCTTCAGTGAGACTGTAGTAGATCGAACAAAGAGAGAGAGAGAGAGAGTGAATTTCGAAATTGTGTGTTTTGGAGTCTGATTCATGCTTCTTAAATAATTTGTGAAGAGATATGAAGAAAAGGTAGGTGCTGGTTTAGAGAAGGCATCTTGAACATTCACAATTTCAAACATTGTGACTATTTAAAAAGTAGTTAACAGTTGGTGACTGTTAACTTTGAATTGTGCCTCTTGATCACACCCAATCGAATCGTGACTGTTGATCTCATCAACGGTGATCAACGCACCAAAACCAGAGCCGCCCATCGCGAGCCACGCGGGTGCGCGCAAAATGCGAGCAAAGTGTGCCTCTAAAGCGCCTCATTGCGCCACACACACGTGCGCACACGCGTACACGCACGTTGCGCGATATCGAATCCCCATACTCTCCTCTACTAATTCTAAGGAGTGTAAATTAGCTCCTATTGAAACACTGAAAACAAACCTTATAATTATCCAATGTGGGACAAGTTCAAAACCGGGTTTTTGTAAAAGAAAAACAGATTTTTAAATCAAGTGTGTAGGTGTAATTTCTCATGTAATTGACCAATCAAATCGATTGGATTTAATCTCTTATGAGATTAAAATCCAACATTCGGGTTAACTAAATTTAACATTATGCAAGGACAAAGTTATGATTCTTTCTATTCATATATAGATGTAAATATGATTTTGGTTGGATTGGGTTGTTGGAAATGTCAACTCTAATCCTGCGCTGTTATCCTGATAACCTGATGACTTTCAACCCAACTTGACTTCTTCGACTTAGGTTCATGCTAAGCTAATCCAACCCTAGTGGGCTAGCGGCACCACTATCTCTAAGGGACAACTGTGAGACAAAAGTATGGAAATGGGGCTTGAAACAACAGATTGCCACCTGTCAATGGAAATGCCAATTCATATTTAATAAGTTGTCATTCTACCTATCAGCGATAATAGCAACATTTTGAGAAGTCGGAATCCGGTAGGCACATTCAGTTAGCACACTGTGAGTAAGCACATTAGCGTTATATTTAATTTGACACCTACCCCTTAAAACACCTTCCAACCTACGGTCCCCGTTTTTCATAGAAAGCGATCGAGCTTATATGATAAAGGGTGCCGCAAATCACATCTGTTGCCATCAGTGATCATAAGATCACATCTCAGAACGTGCAACGCCACCTAACGCTGCTTTTAAGGCAGTAGTAGGATTTTCCTGATCAACGAGCAAAAGATGAAAAGATCCCTAGGATAGGATCATAGGACACAGCCCCCCTAAATCGTGGACTGCTTGCATGAAATTCAGTTTTGATGGCCACCTAATTGACTACTTCTACAATTGTTCCACCTTCCACGTATTGGGGACTCATGCAAACTTTGGAGGTTCCCGATGTGATGGGTTTTATCCACTCTCGCCAAATGAAATCAACCCATTTATAGACTCGACCGGAATCCGACGCCCTGTTCATTGAACTGGATAAAAGAAAAGAAATCCGCCATCGATCAACCGCTACCCTAAGAGGGGAAGCTCAGGTCATGCGCCACTGCCACCTAGATTTGTATACCGTACATCCTGGCCAAGTGTGTGTCCTAGAAAGATACAACTGTGTGGGCCGGTACACATGATCCAAGATGTAAACACGTGTCCATAAAGAAGGTTAACGCACCATTGAAGCGATTGAATACACATGATAGTCGTGATTAGATCTAGATATATATAAATAAGAAATCCACTACAAGGATTTCTCTGCAAATTCCCTCACAGTGGTAAGGATGGGACTTAGAGAGAACAGCAACAAAATGTTCAAGAGAAGCTCTCCAACCCAAAGAGGCTCAAGAAAAGGGTGCATGAGAGGTAAAGGGGGCCCAGAGAACGCTTTGTGCACTTACAGGGGGGTTCGACAGCGAACTTGGGGTAAATGGGTTGCCGAAATCCGTGAACCCAACAGGGGGGCCAGACTCTGGCTTGGTACCTTCGATACGTCCCGCGACGCAGCTATTGCCTACGACTCTGCCGCTCGCAAGCTTTATGGCAAGTTCGCTAAACTCAACTTGCCGGAATTATGGACCGAAGCCGAGTCCCAAGCTGGAAGCATCAGCGAATCGGTCCCAGTCCCCGTTCCTTCTTCCACCACCACCACCCAGCAGGCTGCTGAAAGCCTATTGAAAGTTGAACCGGAAATGGGATCGTCATCGGATGGGAATAATCTAGTAGAGGATGGGATGGAAGGAATTTGGAGAGACATGAATTTGAGCTTATTGCCAGAGATACAAGAATTTCCCTGGATGGAACTGCCGACGACCACAATGGAATTTCCGGTGGTGATGAAAGACCCAGGGATTTGGAGTCAGGAATTGTTAGATGATACGACGGGTTGGAACGCCCTGGAGCTGCCATGGTGATTGGTCACCTGTAGCAATGCTTCGTCAACATCACCTGTCATTTATGTGAATATTTTTACTGTGAATAATAGTAGTAGTAGTGTTTGTGCATAAAATAATGGATCATATATGTACATAAATTAAATCAGTGTTTTAATTCGGCAGCCGCAGTATACACGCGCATGTCGTTATATGAATACATACATATAGTCAGTCATATATTTATTTCTCTTGCCTTAGAATAAATTCCTTACTTTCTGACTTCTATCGAAGATTTAACTCTTTACGGAAGTGTGACTAATGGCAGAGATCATGTGGTTTTTTTTTTTTTTTTCGATAGGGCAGAGATCATATGGTTGGTGTCAACTTTTTGCAGTGTAGATTTCAGATGTGGGGCCATTTAAACGTGGGAGGTTGGAGTGAGATACTATAGAGCCGTCCAATTCTCAATGCTTAAATGATATCCTTAAAATATCTAGGATTTTTTAACACGTGGAAAGGTTTTCTTAATGAATTTACACAGGAAACCGGGAGGAAGACACGTTGGTTGCCACGTGCTGGATTCATAGGCTGAACACGTACGCCCCATACAGGAAAGGAGGGAAGTCCATTTCCTATATAAGCAGTATCCTGATATAGCAGTGCAGTCAGATAAAACTGAATCAGTAAGATATTATGGCTATGTAAAGAAAACCCCAATCCTTTTTACACTGATCTCATTCAAAAAATTAATCCAAAAGATATTTGTAAGAATGTCTGTTAGAACTCGAAGAGATGTTTGTTTTTGAACTTTGAACTCGAAGAAAGGTTTCGGGTAAGAGAGATATGTTGGGAAATTTTTGGAGAGAGAGAGAGAGAGAGAGAGAAGACGGTAACCAATAAGAGAATTCAGAAGAAAAAACCAATGGTGCATGCCTAACCACGCTATGCTGCAATGTCGCTCCACAGGGGAGAAGCTCGATCGATAAAACAGCCTTCGCTTCCCGGTTCAGACACTAATGTTCACATATGTTGATGCTGCTATTTGGATACATGAGTTGGATAGCGGGAATCCATAACCCATGAGCCACTTGTATGATAGTAGCTAGCATGCATGTGACGTAAATTTGCTGGATTCTATGGTGAGCTTTCAAACACAGACGATTCCAAATGAAAGTTCCAAACCCATCTGTGTAAAAGTCGGTTAGAGAGCGAGAGGAAGAGATCATCAGTCACAGTGACCAGTTCTCGGTCATTGTCAGCTATGAATTGAAATAACAACTTTTCAGATTTCTGATAGGATGGTTTAGAACCAAAAAAACGATCCAAAACAGGTGCAGTGAAACAGGAGAGAAGGGTTTGGTGGAAGGAAGAAAGAGATACATAAAAGAGCGAAATAGGGGTAGGCGGCCGTAGAGAACCGGCGGTAAGCCGGTAACCAATGGAGTTCACTTTTGAATAGGGTTCTGTGTTTTGACGTGTGCAAATTGGTATACGGAGTCGTCGGGATTTATGAACGAGTTCAAATGCATAAGATCTAAAGTGCGGATGCAAAAGTTGAAGATGCTTTTCCATCTACAGTACTTTACCACCTAGAAGGCTAGAATAGAACATTCTCACAAACTTTTGCCAAGTGCATGAAGAAATGCCTAAAATAACAAATTATCCTCTGTCTCGTTCTATCATCCCAATCACGTAAAAGGTAAAACACTTGCATTGCCATTTTTTGAGCTGGGTCTGGTAGGATTTCCTTTTTATCACCCTTATTATTTGATGCTTACTGTTGGGGTTTACTAGGACATAAATTCCTAGATACTACGGGTAATAAGTAACTGACGTGAGAGTTACAAAAGCTACTTTTGAGAATTGAGGTGGCCCAATTTAACTACCCCCCCCAAAAAAAGGAGGTGGCCCAATTTGATGTAGATTCACTGGGATTTTCTGGATGATGAAACGTCAAACTTTGATTTTGGATTGGTAATAGACTGAGCTTCTTTCTTTCTTTTCTTATTATTATATTAGGTGAACGCGGGACACGTGTAAATACACGTGCAAGAGGATTGAGATGAATAACGTGCTTAAGGGAAGATGGATAAATGGATCAAGAAGTTTTCTTTCATGTGATCGTGTGGACGTGAAGTCAAGGCAAGTATTAGCAATATATGTGCCTTTTTATTCATCCTACTATGTGATACAGGAGTACAGGAGGGATGATTTAATGTTTGTCATAAGTTAAGCTTTTGCACGTTAAAAACAAACAAAGGGAAAAAAAAAAAACGAAATAACTCTGCATGTTCACCACGTGTTGTCATTTTAGACGTCACTTATAATATAAGATTAGCTAAATTATTTATACCATTTTCCAAAAAAATTGCATATTAGTACCTATAGGTCTAATTTTATTGGTTCCAAACTTTAAAACATCTCAATAAAGTATCTAAATTCCTATAGTAAATCAGCCGGTTCAGTGGCATGTGAAAAAACACTAATATCCTTCGGATGTCATTTAATTTGAGTCGGATTGGTTAATTTAATTGTATATTCTTCATTTTATTTAGTCACAAGTAGAAAACGATGAATAATGTTTTTTTAAGGATATATTTAATATTTTAAAATTTTAAATCATACATATCGTCATATGATATAAATAATTAACGAGCTACTTTTGACAAATATTACGATGGATAATATCGTCTTTTAAGGCTTAATTTGAAAAGAGTACAAATAAAAATATATACAATTTTAAATCATACATATCGTCATATGATATAAATAATTAACGAGTTACTAATGACAAATATTACGATGGATAATATCATCTTTTAAGGCTTAATTTGAAAAGAGTACAAATAAAAATATATACAGCACAAATAAATATACTTTTGTATCAATGTTTTTAAAATGGGACCAGATTGGACAGTTAGACTAAAAAACTGAGAACTGGTAAGGTCTCCGGTTCCAGCTATATTGTAAACTGAAAATCTTCAAAAACCCGTTGAAAAAGGTATAAAAACCGTTGATTCGGATGGTCAAACCGTTAAATCATTGGTCCCGAGCAATGGTTCACGGGTTCTATTTTTTTTTTATTTTTTCTGTATTTAAAAAAATAAAAACAAAAAAAAATCCACCTGTGCCCCTAATCCAAGTCAAAATCGTAAGGGCTAGGGTTCGAACGAAAGTTATTTTCGTTCTTCCCTTCCCAACTCTCAACCGCTCAGTAACTTCCGACGACCTGCGGCAGCCACGACCTACGGTGAAGTACGACGACCGGCGATGGCGATTGAGGCTTCATCTATGGCGGCGACCTACAACGTAGGATTTGCAGCGGTGAGTGCATGGATTTGCAGTGGCGACCGATGGTTTAATCAGTTTCATCACTGGTCTGTAGCACTTTTCAATGCAACGGAAGATTCTGGCTTTCTGCTCCTCAACCAGAGTTGCAGCGGCAATCACCAAACGACCAAACTGCAATCCACTAGCGGCGATTTCCCCTCTCTGTGATCCTAACACCGTCGCACCCCATTACCGATGGTGACACCATGAAGGTATAAAATGCTTCACAGTTCACAGACTTTGGTTTGGTTTGCTTAAATTAATTCCAATCAGTTCAAAGAATGCGGTTTATTTATAAATAATTTTTATTTTTAATTATTTATAACATCACCGGTCGAACCATTTGACTCAAACGATTGAACCGTTGATCTGAAAAATAGTTCTCTAATCGATTCTGTTTCTAGATCAGTTTTCAAAACCTTGATTTTTACATTCTGTAAATTTTCAAAATATACCTTTATTTTTTTTTTGTTTTTTTACTTTTTGGGTACAGGTAAACCATTCATTAGAAAAGCTTGGAATTCTTAAACTACTTAGAAGAAACACCCAATATAAAAACATTACAAGATAACTGATAACATTACAAGATAACCGATAACATATTAGAAGGGGCAGCTTCTTGCATCTAAAAACATTACAAGTTAACATTACTTTCTCTCCAGTGTTTTTACTTTCAATGTGTTGGATTAAGGCGTTTTTGGAGTTGTTCTCTGCATGCTTCATTTCCCGGTCACCATTTCTCTCCTCTGTTTTTGTTTTATGTATTGCTCACTGTTTTCGCAATATATTTCAAATCATATCTGATTTTGTAAATTCATCCAACTTTATTATTGTTTTTTGTAAAAAGCCCTTGTTTATTTGTTTGGTGATGAATCAACAATTTAATCTTTTGAGTCAAAATTTGTCAACCTTTGATGTTATAGTTAGATAATAATAAAAATTAAAAAAATAATATAAAAACACACAAAAGTATAAAAATACAAAAAAAAAATTGTAGAAAACATTAGGGCACCTCTATAATATCATAAATTCATCATATTAAACAAAATTAAATGAGTCATAGACATAGAAATATAAATATGGATACATATTTATTATCATAATAAAAAAATTCCCACGTACATACTTGCTAGTGAAATAAAATAACTTTTATTAACTTTAGTGTCCACATGCAATTCAAACAAACAACACATATTTATGTTTAACAACTCTAACTAAAAATTAAAAGAATTATATACAAAATTGGTATTTTATAAACTAAGGGAATAAGTAATCTATCAAATCCACATTTATATTAATAGATGATATTTAATGTCACAAAATTTATACAAATAAAATATTAATAATAGAATAATAATTTTAATACTTAAAATTTATAAATTTTCACATAATATGCATCTTAAGATATATATTATAAATTATTAATTAATATTTTAATTTGCATTAATTACAACATTTTTATTATTTACAAAAAAATTAAAATGTTGTTTACAAAATGTTCAAGAACATAATATTAAATTTATTCTATCAAATCCCTTAATCTACATTTATTTTAAAAAAATATTTTTCATTTTATAAAATTTATAGAAATAAAAATATTAATAATGGAATAATTATTTCAGTAATTAGAAATTATGAATTTGCATAAGATATGTATCTTAGAAATTTTAACTAATTTTATATATTATAAATTATCATATGATATTATAATTTACATTTGGGAAT